TCTCTCTCTCTGTCTCTCTCTCTGTCTCTGTCTCTCTCTCTGTCTCTGTCTCTCTCTGTCTCTCTCTCTGTCTCTGTCTCTGTCTCTGTCTCTCTCTCTCTGTCTCTGTCTCTCTCTGTCTCCTGAACCCGTGCTATGTAAACAGACATCAACAATGATTCAGGTACTGTGCAAGAGCCTATAATGACGCACTGCTATATGCAAGATTACGGTTGACACAAGTTATCTTTACATTCGTTCAGGACACTGGCAAACACCGCATATATATATATATATATATATATATATATATATATATATATATATATATATATATATATATATATATGGTCCTGGGAATTAAATAAGCTTTGCTTTTTGTTCAACTACGTTTACAGGGAACATAAAATATATCTCAAGAGGATAGAGTAGCTTAGGCTATTTCTACCCCTGAATAACTTCTCCTGGTGGTGACCCACTAGTCAATCTGGCCTAGCCTAACCTAGCCTAACCTGGCCTAGCCTAACCTAGCCTAACCTCAGCACACCTCCAGGGACCTGGCCAGCTGCTGGGTCTGTATAATCAATGTGTTTAGTAATACCCGATACAAGTACATAGAACACCATCACTTGAAGGGACAGAAGAACCCGAGGTCACTGTACGGTGAAGAACCCGAGGTCACTGTACGGTGAAGAACCCCTGAGGTCACTGTACGGTGAAGAACCCGAGGTCACTGTACGGTGAAGAACCCGAGGTCACTGTACGGTGAAGAACGCGAGGTCACTGGACGGTGAAGAACCCGAGGTCACTGTACGGTGAAGAACCCGAAGTCACTGTACGGTGAAGACTGTCAGTGACCCAGCAAAAAGACAAGACTGGAATTAGTCCTCTCATCTCCTACCAATTTCTATCCTTTACATAATCTATATCCCCCTCCTTCCTTATCTCCTACTTCTCCATCTTCGCTATCCCTCCACCCATCTTGACTTCTCTATCCTCCTCCTCCTCCTCCTCCTCAGACCCACCCCTGCTCCTTCATCATGTCCTTCTCATGCCTGATCCTGCAAGTCAAGTCTCAACAAGTCAACCATGATATCCTTTGACGTGTAAATAAATCTACCATTTTCTTCTCCAAGGACGGGGGACTCTAGTGCGCGAGCGGGGGGGGGGGAAGGTTCAAAAGTCCCCACTAGAGTCTTTAATTAACTTTTTTTTTACGACTAGCGAAGCCGATAATTGGGTCAAAATATTATTTTTCCTGCTGATATATTCGCATATAAAAAATATTTTATTTTAAATCTTTACTCGGTTTCAGTTATAAAATAATTTATCGAATTTATTCAATATGATTATATCTATTACAATTATTTTTAGTATTTGTTCACGCAAAGTTGATGAGGACTACAAAGGGATACCAGAAGGACTGATTATTAACGGGAATGATCTGATAAATGGTTACTAGATTTCAACCCAGACACATGCAAGATCATGAGAATGAGATTAAGAATAAAAAAAGGCCTGAAGAATAGCACACAACGAAAAGGAGTAATTTATCAGTGACAGAAAAAGACTCTTGAGAGAAGGCCCAACATCGAACCACGATCTCTCTGGACAAAACCACGTCGAGCAGGTGAACACCAGAGCCAGAGTACGCAGCACCAGCCTGGAGCCGACACCACAAACACAGAACGAAGCTTTAGTAAAAACAGAGTATTCCTACATGATTAGAAACAAAGAGGACATGATCCACACATACATAGTACTCAAGAGATATCGACGCAATACAGACAATATATTTATGACCCGCAGTAGCGTAGGAGGCAGGTGAAAGCCAGATATTCCCCAGCTACCACGAGGGGACGACCCACAAGGGACAGGGGGCAAGGGATAGGTATAGCCTCTATGTCCCTGTGGACAGGGACAGAGAGGGTGTCAGGGGTCATTGTATTTGACTTCTGGCGGTTCTAAAAGGTGGAGCCCGCGAGCTGGAGTTTGGCTCTGCAAACTATATTGGACACAAACACGCCAGGGACCACCACACACACACACACACACACACACACACACACACACACACACACACACCCACCAGGGATCACCACCACCACCACCACACACACACCAGGGACCACACACACACAAACACACCAGGGACCACCACCACACACACACACACACACACACACACACACACACACACACACACACACACACACCAGGGACCACACACAAACACACCAGGGACCACCACCACACACACACACACACACCAACCCACCAGGGACCACCACACACAAACACACCAGGGACCACCACACACAAACACACCAGGGACCACACACACACCAACCCACCAGGGACCACACACACACCAACCCACCAGGGACCACCACACACAAACACACCAGGGACCACACACACACAAACACACCAGGGACCACCACACACAAACACACCAGGGACCACACACACACACACACACCAGGGACCACCACACACAAACCCACCAGGGACCACCACACACAAACACACCAGGGACCACACACACACACACACACCAGGGACCACCACACACAAACACACCAGGGACCACCACACACAAACCCACCAGGGACCACACACACACAAACACACCAGGGACCACCACACACAAACACACCAGGGACCACACACACACACACACACCAGGGACCACACACACACACACACACCAGGGACCACCACACACAAACACACCAGGGACCACACACACACACACACACCAGGGACCACACACACACAAACACACCAGGGACCACCACACACAAACACACCAGGGACCACACACACACACACACACCAGGGACCACACACACACAAACACACCAGGGACCACCACACACAAACACACCAGGGACCACACACACACACACACACCAGGGACCACACACACACAAACACACCAGGGACCACCACACACACAAACACACCAGGGACCACCACCACCACACACACCAGGGACCACACACACACACACACACCAGGGACCACCACCACACACACACACACCAACCCACCAGGGACCACACACCCACAAACAGATGGGAGTATCTTCAGAGTTACCAGTGTTCGCCTAATGACCAAGCCATAATGTTGCCACAAGCCGGGCCATTTGCTCCAGCGGCACTCTCGGTATAACGACCACATATACATGGCCGCCCTCATCCCCCCCCCCCCCGCCCAAAAGAACAACCAACACAATAATAAACATGTATTTTAATTTACTACATATATATATATATATATATATATATATATATATATATATATATATATATATATATATATATATATATATATATATATATATATATATTTAAGATAAAACAAAGTACATAACATATATACAAATGATTGAAGATGCTAAAACAAAATGCAAGAAAATGCTGAAAAAATAAAAGAAAAAATGCTAAAATGGAGAGAAAACGCAAAAAAAAAAAACACGAAAAAATGCTAAAATATACAAGAAAAAAATGCTTAACATCTTAAAGTATAATACAAAGTGTTAAGACGAGTGAAGAAAATATCAATCAAGACGCGGTTTGTGCACCTCAAGGATCACGTCATGCGGGTCGGCGTTCAATCCCCCGACCGTCCAAATGGGCCACCATTCCTTTCCCCCCCCGTCCCATCCCATCCCAAATCCTGATCCCTTCCCAGGGCTATATAGTCGTAATGGCTTGGCGCTTTACTCTGATACTTCCCTACCTGGGGGAAACCCCTGTCGAAAAGATGGTTAGTGAACTTCAACCCAAATATGTGCAAGGATATGAGGATGTGAACACTAAACTCTAAGATAAGAGGGGGGAAAAAAATGATGAATTCGAGGAACTTGGGAGCGTCAGAGCGTGACTTTATAGGGATCAGCAACGCATCAACAAGCTAGGGAAGAAGGGGTTAGTCTTCGGAAACTTAGGCAAGCAGCCTTTCAGAACGCTTTTATACAAGTGTAATATACGTCAGACAAGCGCTAGAGTATGCAGTGCCGGCAGGGACTCTCCACTTCAAAAAGAGCGTGCGCGTAAGCACGTACACACACACACACACCCTACACACACACACACACACACACACACACACACACACACACACACACACACACACACACACACACACACACACACACACCTCTAATAAACTTAATTTCACAATTGCCGGTGCTTCACTAGGAAGATAGAGTGAGGAAACTGTACCTAATGGAACATTTAGTTCCATTAGCCATTATACAGCGGAGTGTCTGTACCTCCCGTTAGATAGGGGAACTACCTCCTTCACTGAAGGATTCATTTTGAAGACGATAAACCATCGATGAAGAAAACACCCTCCCGAAGGAGACATCACCCTGCTAAAGGAGACATCATAGGGGAGCTGGTCGGCCGAGCGGACAGCACACTGGACTTGTGATCCTGTGGTCCTGGGTTCGATCCCAGGCGCCGGCGAGAAACAATGGGCAGAGTTTCTTTCACCCTATGCCCCTGTTACCTAGCAGTAAAATAGGTACCTGGGTGTTAGTCAGCTGTCACGGGCTGCTTCCTGGGGGTGGAGGCCTGGTCGAGGACCGGGCCGCGGGGACACTAAAGCCCCGAAATCATCTCAACATAACCTCAAGATAACCCTGCCGAAGGAGACATCACCCTACCGAAAGAGACATCACCCTGCCGATGGAGACATCACCCTGCGAAGGAGACATCACCCTACCGAAGGAGACATCACCCTGCCGAAAGAGACATCACCCTGCCGAAGGAGACATCACCCTACCGAAGGAGACATCACCCTACCGAAGGAGACATCACCCTGCCGAAGGAGACATCACCCTGCCGAAGGAGACATCACCCTACCGAAAGAGACATCACCCTACCGAAAGAGACATCACCCTGCCGATGGAGACATCACCCTACCGAAGGAGACAGCCTCCCAGGCATTCAGGCCTCCGAGCACCAACCAACCACCACCACCAACAGAGGGTATACAGGAGTACTCACACAGCAGAAGTCCTCGCCGACGTAGCAGAAGTCGCCGGAGGCGGAGGTCGGGCACCACAGGTGGTCCCCATTGATAGCTCCCTCATTCCAGTCGCAGGTGGACCGCAGGACGCGCCGCTCCCCATTCTCACACTGGATCTCCACCTCAGAGTTGATCGCTTTCCTGCAGGGAGCCAAGATCCTTCATCAGCATCACTATACAATAAATACAATAAAATACAATAAATACAATAAAACAAAAATAATAATCCAAATTGCAAGCACTAATATTTACTAATAAGTATAAAAAATACCATTGAAACTACGTATAACCAAAAAAAAAAAAATTAATGGATTTTTTGTATGCTAATACGGATTAAGACACATTACTACTAGCCAATTAGATAGACGTAATAATATTATCTTGGCTCCATTACCTCTGTAACAGTTCTTAATTTAATCAATAATTTACTTCTTTAAACTCATAATCGCATGAGGAATATTTACAAATTTTTGCGTTAAAAAAAAAATAGGGTGGTGAGGAGGGGGGGGGGGGGGTGGATTGATATAAATTTTGTCACTCCTCATGAGTAACCTATATCCTCCCCTGAGTAACCTACACCCTCCCCTGAGTAACCAATCGATCTTAAAAAAATCCTTAACTAATCAATCTGAACTCCACCTAATCTAAGCATTCACTTACCAATCAAAACTAAATCCAATCCCACAACTAATCTGTCTGAAGCCCCAGCTAATCTCTCTAAACTCCAAACTAATTTATCTAATTAAGCACCAACCCAATCAATCCAAGCCTAAATTCTAAATCTAAATTCCCACCTAATCAATAAAAACACCTCAGGCCACTCTTAAGACAAAATTTTGACCGTGAAAAAACAAAACAAAATCCCATCTCCTTCCAAGAAACAAAATTAAAACAAAAGAAAACAATGACAAAAGCAACTATACTGTTTCTAGTCCGCGTGACGTCACATGTAAACAATACAGTATGAACCAAAAGTTCTGCGTCAGTCCAAAATGAGACAATATTTCCCCTCAGTCAAGGGGAAGAAAATTACACCAAATCTTGATGAAAATATACTAAATACGCTGGAAAAAAAAAACATGCCAAATCAGACTGATAAAAAGAGTATACTGACTTGCTATTAAAAAAAGGATCAATATGAACCAATTTGATTAATATTTGGTTCCCCAAAATGCACAGCAGGGACCGATATGTTGTGGAATTGAACTTACCTTCAACTTAGCTGGGTTGAGATCAAGTTTAATGTTCTAATATATTATATGGCAATGACAATATATATATATATATATATATATATATATATATATATATATATATATATATATATATATATATATATATATATATATATATATATATATCGTACCTAATAGCCAGAACGCACTACTTGGCCTAGTATGCAAGGCCCAATTTGCCTAATAGGCAGAGGGATTTTCATTATTTAAATTTTTTATTTCCAATTGGTTTATTTGAATATTATTATATTATATTAAGAACAAGCATTACTGACTTAATTATGTTAGTTTAGGTTAGATTTTGATAGGATAGGCTAGGATAAGTTAGGCTAGGTTAGGTTAGATAAGATAGGTTAGGTTTGATCGTATTTCTATGTTAGCTTTAACTCGTTAAAAAAATGTAATCATATACAACATAATGGAAAGCGTTATCATTTCATACGAACAAAAATTTAGACAAATATATAACTTTAGCAAAACTCGGCTTATTAGACAAACCGAGCCTTGCATAGTAGACCAAGTAAAGTACGTTCTGGCTTTAAGGTAAAAAAAACATACACACACATGTTAAACAAAAAAAAAATAAACCTGTTAAAAAAAAAAATAAACCAATTTCGGTGTCAAAAATAATTTTGTTTTGGTCATGAATAACGCCTAAAGCAAGAGAGCAAATATCTTGAGGTTATCTTGAGATGACCAATCTCAATCAATCTCAAACCAAGTGATATCAATCTCTACACATTGTTTGCAATCAAGACAAAATTGCAGACCTTGCAACGCGTGAAATATGCAAATTAACAACAGCAACGCCTGGGTGACCGATTAAACAACGGGCCAGTTTTCCTTTCATACGTGTTCCATTATTTAACATGAAAATGATAATGGAAGTAAAGGGTTGCGTGTTAGTTGGGCATTTTTGAAAATCTATGATGTATATGTATGTTAAATATTGGGATGTTGGTGCGAGGAGAGAGAGAGAGAGAGAGAGAGAGAGAGAGAGAGAGAGAGAGAGAGAGAGAGAGAGAGAGAGAGAGAGAGAGAGAGAGAGAGAGAGAGAGTGAGTGAGTGAGTGTGTGTGTGTGTGTGTGTGTGTGTGTGTGTGTGTGTGTGTGTGTGTGTGTGTGTGTGTGTATGTGTGTAAGTTTGAGCAGTAGAATATGCTCTTATACCCTTTCCCAAAATAACAAAACAGCCAAAATTATTTAACAAGGTTTACGAAGCAAATTACTTACCCTCATTAGACTAGAAACATGCCATAAATTGTACACGACAATATTACGCACCTCATCCACGAAGTAGCTTTTTTCCCCTCACTGTCAACGGAGTTTATGTCTCCTGACGAAGGGGAAACTAACGTGGATGGTCTTGGAGGGGGGTGCAAGAGTGAATGGTCTTTGAGGGGGTGCAAGAGCGGATGGTCTTGGAGGGGGGTGCAAGAGCGGATGGTCTTGGAGGGGGGTGCAAGAGCGGATGGTCTTGCACCCCACTTTGAGGGTGGGGGGGAGAAGGGTTGCAAGAGTTATTATACATGCTGGGATGAGAGCCACCTACCTGGCAGCCTTGGGCGTGGTAACTACCACCTTGTAGTTACCGTCTTCTTCTGTTGGGAGTTCGATGTCGATGCTCTTAGATCGGAGCGACTTCGGGGGCTCGAGGGAGACGGAGCGCGTGAGACCCGTCGTGGAGGATTTGATGAGGTCCTCCGGCTTGGGGAAGCTGGCGAAGGAGATGTCAAGAGAGGCTGCTCGATCCCGGCGAGGTGGCACTTCCAGGAAGACGTCGGTCACGCCCTCCTTCCCCTCTTGCTTCTCCCCGCCGCTCCCCTGCTCCCCACTTTGCTCCCCGTCACCGTAATCACTAGAGGAACCCAGGTACAAAAAGGAACCATGGTGGCTGAAACCACCGTCACTTAAATCAAAGCTGTTTTCCTGCGAACTGAGCTCGGTGCTCGTGTTCATGCAGAAGATGGCAGGCTGACGCTCCAACTTAGGGGACACGGCTTTACTGCGTGGCGACGGCGCCGCCGCCGCCGCTGGCGTCGGTATTGGCACTTCCTCTTGCGTCGGGGACGCCGACGATGGCGAGTTGGGACTCAAGGTAACTTTGATGCCGCAGATCACCTCGTGCAGCTCGTCACTCGAACTGTCCTCGTCCCAGTCTTCTTCCAGTTCGTCCTCCGCCTCCTCCCGCGAGCTGTCCAGACTACTGACGAAGTCCAGCGACATGTTGTAGGGGATTCTTTTGCCCTCGCAGCCAAAGCGTCGGTTGAGATCCTCTATGTACACACAGTGGACGCAATGGTGGGTCGCTTTGTCAAGTGAGGAGGGACGCGAACTCTTCTTGCGGGAGGTGGTGTCGGTGTCGTCCACGTCGCCGCATCCTGAGTCGAAGCTTTTCGAACGTTTCGGTCCGAGGTACGGCACCCGCAGCAGAAACGACTGTCGTTCTGCTGGCGACGAGGACGACGACGACGACTCTCGACGACCCGGCTTGAGCTGCATCTCGTCAAATGAGGCCGAGCGAACCTGCGGCGGAACCTCCAGACTGTTCTGTTGCTTCATCTCGGCGCCCGTGGGCGTCCGAGACCGCATAAACGTGTGCCGCAGCTTGGCGATGTTCATGGCGGGGCGTTGGCTGGGGGGCGTGGGCGCGTGTCACTTGGGTCGCCGGTAGCAACCCTCCCCTGGGGGTCTTGGACACCCCAGGGGCTCCTCACAAGGGCCACGTCACCCCGCCCCTCTCCGGGCTTCCCCTGACGCCAGCCCCTGTAGTGGTCAACAGACTCAACATAAGACAAACATTACAATAAGCTTCTCACACTGGCGAGAAGTGACCACTGAAGGCAGCCCGCTCGGCCACATTTTAACACCACACACTGATTAAACAACGTAGTATACTTCAGTGTGTGTATGTCTCTGTCTCTGTGTCTCTCTCTCTCTCTCTCTCTCTCTCTCTCTCTCTCTCTCTCTCTCTCTCTCTCTCTCTCTCTCTCTCTCTCTCTCTCTCTCTCTCATCAGCTCGGCCCTGACCCTATCCTACCGAAACTTCAGTACATTAAGTGGCAGGCGGCCGCCCGCCCCCCAACCCCATCCTAACCAGTGCCTGTCTCTATGCTTCATCAAGTAATGGATATCCAATCTCGGCGAATGGCACCCGCGTATGGAAACTACCCGCAAACAACAAGGACGGATGGGTTATGTCCAATTACTACCAGATCACATTGGTCAGCAAAGGGCAGACACAACGTGTGAGCGTTGAAGGATAGTGGGCCACGTAGAAGTGAATAATAAAGAATATAACTAAAATGACCAAAAAAATGCAGAACAGTAGGTTTTCTTTTTTAAAATTTTGAAGAAAATGTAATATCATTATTAAGCAAAACTGCCTAGGCATACCATAATGTAATATTCTAGTATTTATTGGCTAAACTATTGCGATGAGGTAATGAGGTCGTTCGCTCTTTGTAATAATAACGAGGTCTTTTGTTGCCAAGTAATGAGGAATTTTGCGCCTATATTACCTTTGGGGGAGGCAGGTTGACGACCTAATTTGGGAGGAAAAAAAGAGAAGGAAATTGTATACATGAAATATACAAGATCGAGGCGATCCTGCTGGGATGTAAACAAACTTAAGGGCGATGTGAACGATGTCTCCTGGTCGACAGATGACGGGCAACTGGGATGACAGCCTCGACATGAAGGTTAAGTGATGACAACAGCCACCTTCTCTTAGGAATTCGATCACGAGGACGTTAATTACGGAACAATACATAAACTCAAAGCTCACCACTGTTTTCTGTCTTGTGGACGCAGGACGAACAACGACCGTCAGTTCCCGCAAGACGAACAACGACCACTAGTTCCTATAGGACGAACAACGACCGTCAGTTCCTATAGGATGAACAAC